TTTGCTTCCATTTCGCTGGGATCAGTGCTTTGGCCGCATTCAGCAGATGTCGTAGGATTGAGCGTTTGTATTGTGCCAGCTGTCCCGTGAAGAAGTGTAGGAGCACAGCCTCTATGCTAAAGTCTGGTGGATCACCCAGAATTGTAGTGATTTCCCGCTGTACCTCCTCCCAGAATGGCTTGATCCCAGGGCAATCCCACCAAATGTGGCGCAGTGTACCTCGCTGCGTTTCGCATCTCCAGCAAGTATCTGGAACCCCTGGGAATATCCTGTGTAGTTTTGCTGGTGTTCTGTACCACTGGGAGATCAGCTTGTAGTTCACCTCTTGGTACCTGGTGCTTATGGAGCTTTTGTGTTGTAATATGAGAATTTGCGCCCATTGGGCGTCTGTGAAGGTTCTGTCTGTCAATTCCTGCCACTGCCTCTGGAAGGCGTTGTTTCTGGAAAGTTCCCCTGTGAGCAGTTGCTGGTATATGATCGATACTCTACCATCTGCCTCTGGATAGCTCTCGCAGAGGTGTTCAAACCAGGTCCATTCTCTGTGTACTGCTTCCCTATTGGGCAAATTGTGGTAGAAGTGTTGCAGTTGTGCGTAATGGAAACGGTGCATTATCGTCAGACGATCTGTGTCCGCCCAATCTTGAAGGCTGCGCAGGCTGGCGTTTGTCAGGATCGAACTCAGGGGTACATATCCCTCTGCTCCTTGCGTTGGCCACGCGTTCGCGTGTAGTCTTCCTCCTATGGTTACGTTATATGTCAGGGGGATCAGAGGGCTTGGCTGTGGCGAGATGTGAGCTTCCCTTCGCAGGGTGGTCCAGGTTTTCAGCGTCTGCGTCACAGGGGACTCCGCACTCAGAGCTTGTGTAGCCCCTGTCGGGCGATGCCAGATGTATGTGTGGAGTGCTCTGTTTGTGCTTTCCCTGTCCAGCCTCGTCCATAGTTTGTTGGTGGGGGCCGTGTGCCATTCTCGAATTCTTTGCAGTACTGTCGCGTGGAAGTATCTCCGAAAGTCCGGCAGGGCCAGGCCTCCCAATGATTTTGGCAAGCATAGTCTGTCATGCTTAAGCCGTGGTCTCCCCTCCTTCCAGACATACCTCGTCACCGCTGTTTTGAGCCTGGTGAAGAAGTCCTGTGGCGGGTGCCAGGGGATAGCGCTGAAGCAGTAGAGGAGGCGGGGAGGATATTCATTTTGACCACTGCTATTCGGCCTTGCCAAGAGATGTGATCGTACGACCATCTCGACAGGTCCGTCAGTACAGTGCGTAAGAGGGGTGTATAGTTCCTATCGTATGTCTCTCCCGGGTCACGGCAGAGCCAAATCCCCAGGTAGCGCATCTGTTCCCTGCACCAGTGGAAGGGGAACTTGCATTGGAGTCTCTCCTGCGCGTTCCTTTCGGTGGGTATTGCCAGGATTTCGCATTTTGCTAGATTTAGCTTGAGTCCTGATATCCGCCCGTATTGCTTGAATTCCCGTAGGAAGCCCGGCAGTGTGCCCTGAGGTTCCGCGACGAAGAAGAGCATATCATCCGCGTATGCGGCCACCTTATGTGTCTGATCTTTCTGTTGGAATCCCTGGATCTCTGGTGTCCTTCTGATCTTGTCTAGAAACGGCTCTAACGAGAGGGCGAAGAGGAGGGGGGACAGCGGGCATCCCTGTCTGGTTCCGTTGTTGATGTCAAAGTTATCTGTGAGTGCTCCATTTACCCGTACTCTGGCAGTTGGGTCGGTGTATAGTGCCGTTATCCAGGTGAGTATGCCGTTCCCCAGACCCATCGCCCTCAGCGCTGCCAACATGAAGCTCCACTTTACCCGGTCGAACGCCTTTTCTGCGTCCGTGGAGAGCATAAGGAAGTCCGATGTTCCCCTACGCGCCAGGCTTTGTATGGTGAAGGCCCGCAGTGTGCCATCCCTGGCCTCTCTTCCCGGGATGAACCCTGTCTGGTCTGGGTGGACTAGCCTTGGCAAGAATTGTTGCAGTCGCGTAGCTAGCACTTTGGAGAAGATCTTCACGTCCACATTTAGTAGCGATATGGGTCGGTAATTGCCGCAGATTTCCGGGCTCTTACCGGGTTTGGGAATCACTGTGATTATGGCTGCTAGGGATTCTCTGTGAAATTTACCCCCGTCCCGGAGGTGATTGCAGGCGTTGGCGATACGTGGGGCTAAGATGTCTCTGAACTTTTTATAGTAGCCCGCCGAGAACCCGTCCGGGCCTGGTGCCTTCCCTTTTTTTGTGGTTTTTATCACTGCCAGTATCTCGTCTGTAGATATCGGGGCGTCTAGGGCGTCTGCTTCCTGCTGGGATAGGGTTTCAGGGTTGAAGTCTCTCAGGTAGCGTGCGATGTCTCCTGCGGTGCTGGTCTCGTCCGCCTCCGGGGTTACGGGCGGTATGTTATACAGGTCTTCGTAGTACGAGCGGAATTCATTTGCAATCTCTTCAGGGAATTGCGTAGTGGTGCCCCTGGCTGTTCGCAGTGCGCTCACCTGTGCGCTTGTTTGTTGGTTCCGCAACATGCGGGCTAGCAGCTTTCCTCCCTTGTTGGCATGGATGTAGAAGAAGGCCTTCGATCTCTGGATCGACCTGTGGTGTTTGCGGGCTATCAGGTCCGACAGTTGCCGTCTGAGGGTCAGAAGAGTGTGGTAATGCTCCTCCTGTCGGGTCCTCTTGTGCAGCGTTTCCAGCGTTGCTATCTGTTCCGCTAGTGTCGTCATTTGTCGTTGTGCTTCTCTCTTTTTTTGCACTGATATCCGGATAAGTAGTCCCCTGAGGACGCTTTTGTGGGCCTCCCACAGAGCCAGTGCGGAGATTTCTTCGGTGTCGTTTTCAGTGAAGTAGTTATTCAGTTGTTCCAGTAGTTGTGCCTGCGTCGGTTCGTCGGAGAGGAGTAGTTCATTTAAGCGCCATACGGTCCGGGTAGGTCTGTATAGGGGTGATTCCATGCGCATGTATACTGCGCTATGGTCCGACCATGGAGTGGGGCGGATGTCTGCCTGCAGTAGTCTTTGCAGTCCTTCTTGTTGGATGAAAAGGTAGTCTATCCTAGCATGCCTATTGTGCATGGCCGAGTAATGCGTGTAATCTCGGTCTCCTGGGTGTAGGGTACGCCATACGTCCACCAATCGCAGTTCGTGTAGGGTCCTTCGGACCGTCCGAATTGCTGTTTGTGGGATGCTGCTGTGTCCCGTTGAGGAGTCTAGGATCGGTTCCAGTGGGGTGTTGAAGTCCCCCCCTACCACGAGGGCACCCTCCGTGAAGTTGGCGAGCTTGAGCAGTGTGTTGCGGAGAAATTTTGCTTGTTTGGCGTTTGGGGCATAGATTGAAGCAAACGTGTACGTCTTCTGGGCTATCGTCCCCTTTACGAAAAGGTATCTGCCATTTGGATCGGCCAGCGCGTCGCTTCGGTGGAAGTGAAGGTTGGAGGCCAGGAGAATCGCCACTCCCGCCTTGCGTGCTGTTGGGTGGGTGCTATGGAAGCTGTCCGGGAAGCATCTGTCCGTCAATCGATGTGTTTCGGCCGCTCTCAGATGTGTTTCTTGCAACAGTGCTACGGACACGTGTTGCTTTTTCAATTCCCGTAGGAGGTGCGTGCGCTTCTCAGGGGCGTTCAGTCCTCTGCAGTTCTGCGTGAGGATTTGGAAGGGGGCATCTGTGAACGCCATGGTGTAGGGTCTTCAGGGCACCCGGGGTTCGAGTGTGTCAATCGCTATACGTGGGGGGGGGAGGGTGGTGGCTAGGTAGGGAAGGAGGGAAGGGAAGATTTTCCAAGTCCGGGCGGGGCCGGGGGTCCCCAAGGCGTCTAGGTCCCTCGGAGTGAGGGTAACCTGTGTGACTGGATCGAGTATCAGGTCCGCACCGTCTTCTAGATTCCTAGGACAGCCGCGGATCTGTCTCCCCCAGTAGTTTGGTAGAACACAGGTCCTGTTGGGGGTGGACCGGTCAGGCGGTCAGTGTGATGAGTACCTGTTTGGTCTCAGGTGTCTGTGGGTGGTCATGTAGTGTCAGCTCAGGAGCAAGGTCCGTTCCCCACTTATGTATATGCTAGTCATGTGCGCTGTCTCTTTTGTTTTGTCTGCTCTATGGTCACGGCTGGGTGTCTGATTGGCTCGGGAAGTCGTGGTCCTCCCAATGTCGTGGGCCGGTTGGGGCCGAGGTGACAACTGCTGTCTCCTGGAGGAATATTCGCAACCGTGGGCCTCCGGGGAGGGGGGGGGGGGCAGGCAGGGATGCAGGCTGGCCTCTACCATGTCAGACCAGGCAGGTCAGATCTGTCTGGGTTAGGATAGCTCGGTGGTTAGATGGGGGTTCCCATTGATGGTGTTTTTTTTTTATTTTTTATTTTTTTTTTTGTCAGCCTATTTTTCCAATGGTCTGGGCCTTTCCATATCTTTGGTGCTCTGTCACCTTGGGTTGGTGGGTCATAGGTGCGTGGTGTCGTCGCAGTCATCATAAACAAAGCATTAATTCGTTTGACATTTTCCACCCCTCCATCCTCTATTCCACCTCCCATCCACCCCGCCCCCGTTGAGTCCCCTCCTCCGGTACATAGTAAAAAAGCTGTTCAAAGTACAATCATCCCATTGCCCCCCGTCCCCCACCCCCCGGGCCCCCCAGCATTAGGTATTGCATGTCTTATTACTGTCTGGATTTTTCCAGGCTGGTCTCCTGTTCCATATAGCCCAACTGGGTCGAGGAGGCAAATATATTAGTTCCCAGTGCACGGTTCATTTGTGCAGTGTCCGGCGTCCCCCCCCCAAACCCCCCAGCCCCCCCACCCCCGCCCCGACAATCCTCCTGTTTCGCTTGCCCCTTAAGGTGATATCCTCACAATGGCGCCAGAGGTGTCCCCAGTTCTCATAATTGCCAGATAGTGTTGGTGCTGGTACGTCTTGGTGCCCTCTGTTAGAAATGCCTTCCCCCCATTGTGTGCCCCCTCCCAAAGAAAAAAGAGAGAGGTGGATGCGTAAGGTTTGTGAGCTGCATGCCAAGTGTGTGTCTCTGCTTAATGTCTCGTGCGAGCTGATGAGTTAGGTAAGTGTGTAAGGGCCAAGGTGTACTTGTGCGGTGTCTGTGGGCCAGGTCTCTGTTCAGGTTGGTTCAGGATCCAGTTGGTGATTTCTGTGGGCGGCAGGCCCAGGCGCTGTAAGAATCTGGGTGCCTCCTCCGGCCATCGCAGGGGTATCCACTCATTTTGTTGCCTGGCTAGGAGAGCGAAGGGGTAGCCCCACTTATAATTGATCCTCCTCTCCTGCAGTTGTGTCGTGATTGGTCTCAGTGCTCTGCGCGCCTCTAAAGTCAGGGGCGAGAGGTCTTGGTATAGAGCCACATCTGCGTCCTGGAATCTCCAAGTGGGTCTGGATCTCGCTTTGGCCATGATCTTTTCTTTTAGCTTATATTGGTGCATGCAGCAAATGACGTCTCGTGGAGTCCCCTCCATCGTGCGCAGCCTGTTGGCCCTATGCGCCCTGTCGAACTCTATCGTGGCTGGCGTCTCAGCCCCCAAGATACCTCTGAATAGTGCGCGCAGCAAAGCCTCCACATCTTCTTCCCCCGCAGATTCTGGTATGCCGCGCACCCTTATGTTGGATCTGCGGCCTCTGTTATCCAGATCTTCTGTATGGCGCCTCAGGGTTAATAGCATATTCCCCTGTCTGGTGATGGCTAAGTTAGAGGCCTCTGCTTCAGCTGTGTGGGCTTGTGTGGTGTTTTCTAAGTGCTGAAGTCTGCTGTCCTGTGCCACCAAGTCTGCTCTCAGTGCAGTTACCTCTGTGTGTATTGCAGCATACAGGGTTTCAGACAGGCCGCGGAGGTCATCCTTGGTGACCATGTTGGCAGCAAGTGCCCTGATCTCGGCACTGATGTCTGCCAGCGTGGTTTCGCCGCTCTCAGGTGTCGTCCCGGTCGGGGAGTCGGCCATGTTGGGGCCTGCGGCCTCATGGCGTGCGTTTGTTGCGGGCGTCAAGAACCCGTCCATGGGTCCAGCTGGGGTGCTAGGGGGGTTCCCCCTTGGTGTCTGGGAGCCCTCTACTCTTTTTGTGCGTCCCATGTCCGTGCCGGGCTGTGCTGGCAGCGTGCTGTTGGAGCTTGTGGGACGGAGCTCTCTGCCTAAGCTGCCATTTTCGTCCGCGTCTAGGCCACGCCCCCCTCTCTCTTGTATTTTAACTATATTACATTATATACTTTTTTATTTCCTTTATATGTACATTGAATATCGCATATAAGAAAGGAAGGATATAGGCGCTCACTAAAAAAACCCAATAAATGTGAAAAGGCAGCAGTGAACCTGCAGGACTTCCCAATGCCTGCTAGATAGTGAAAGTGAAAAAGAAAAGGTGGTAGACCGCGCCAAAAGAATAAATGATCAGATAATCATAAATGTACATACATGTAGTTCTTGAATTTTACAGCATATGGGAACCTCAAAAAAGAACAATAAACAATAATAGTGCAATATGCAAAAGTACTTAGTAATGTATAAATAGGATACACTGTGGGTAAAGAGCAAACTCACACTTTACCGAGCTGCTAGGAGCTCTGCCGTATAGCGCCTGGACGGTACAATCCCCATCTTAGGATATGTAGTTCTTGAATGTTACAGCATATGGAAACCTCAAAGAAAACAATAAACAATAATAGTGCAGTATGAAAAGGTATTGTGATAATGTATAAATAAGATACACTGTGAGTAAAGAGCAAACTCACACTTTACCGAGCTGCTAGGAGCTCTGCCGTATAACGCCTGGACGGTACAATCCCCGTCTTAGGATCTGAGTATACCAGGAGGTCCAAATTCAACGGTCATATATATATGAAAAAAACAAAATATACAGACCAATGGTACAATATCATAAACTGGAAATAATATAGAAAAAAGTAGGTATCCTACTTACAGTATCCAGAGCAATGACTTGCTCTGGTGATGACAGCTTATGGTGGTATAATCCCCACCACAGGATATAACAGGAAAGCAGCAGCACCAGAAGATATGCAAAAGCCAAGGGATTTGAAAAAAGGCAATGAAGTTTATTATTAAAAAAATATATTTTAAAATATATATAGGTAAAAGTATATAAAAAACATATATAGTAACTTCAAATCCTATCCTTGACGCGTTTCGCCCGGGTTTGGGCTTTTTCAAAAGAGAGGATGTCCTTGGCGTTCCACCCGGTTTATATAGGGAGAGTTGGTAGTTCAATAATAATCTGGTGTGGTGCTGTTCTTCCTATTTCCTGTTTGGTCGCGGGCGTCGACCGGAAATGACGCACCGCGACAATTAGTATGTGCTGGGAGATGTAGTCCATATGAGGCATGTAGTTCAAATCGCGGCCGTCAACCGGAAGTGACGTGCCGCGAGTACCAGTGTATGATGGGAAATGTAGTTTCCCCAAGTGTCCATCTGTTATATTCGTAGTCATAAGCCGGAAACCGGAAATGCCATGCCATAAGTGGTAGCTGGGATATGTAGTCTCTTAAAATCTATCACAATGTATAATTTTAATGTACAAATACAGTGTAATCAATTCTTATTATCAGTGAAGCATGCACAGCATGATATATAGTGATTACTATGAGCAAACAGATTCCAGTAGTGTATATACATCCTTATTGGGAAAGCATAGCCTACAGTGGTTAATCTGATAGTGATGATGTAATTAGGCATACTTAATCTATACAAATAAAAATAAAAAAATATATATTTTAGGAAAATAGAGAAATACTCTTGATTATTAGAGATGCCAAATGTAGATTATACTCAAGAATTTATTTATCGCAATGTACAAAAAGACAACCACTATAGGGAATGATCCCAACTTTGAGGTAAGAATGACAAAAAGAGAGGAAAAAAAAAAAAAAAAAATCACTATCAGATTAACCACTGTAGGCTATGCTTTCCCAATAAGGATGTATATACACTACTGGAATCTGTTTGCTCATAGTAATCACTATATATCATGCTGTGCATGCTTCACTGATAATAAGAATTGATTACACTGTATTTGTACATTAAAATTATACATTGTGATAGATTTTAAGAGACTACATATCCCAGCTACCACTTATGGCATGGCATTTCCGGTTTCCGGCTTATGACTACGAATATAACAGATGGACACTTGGGGAAACTACATTTCCCATCATACACTGGTACTCGCGGCACGTCACTTCCGGTTGACGGCCGCGATTTGAACTACATGCCTCATATGGACTACATCTCCCAGCACATACTAATTGTCGCGGTGCGTCATTTCCGGTCGACGCCCGCGACCAAACAGGAAATAGGAAGAACAGCACCACACCAGATTATTATTGAACTACCAACTCTCCCTATATAAACCGGGTGGAACGCCAAGGACATCCTCTCTTTTGAAAAAGCCCAAACCCGGGCGAAACGCGTCAAGGATAGGATTTGAAGTTACTATATATGTTTTTTATATACTTTTACCTATATATATTTTAAAATATATATTTTTAATAATAAATTTCATTGCCTTTTTTCAAATCCCTTGGCTTTTGCATATCTTCTGGTGCTGCTGCTTTCCTGTTATATCCTGTGGTGGGGATTATACCACCATAAGCTGTCATCACCAGAGCAAGTCATTGCTCTGGATACTGTAAGTAGGATACCTACTTTTTTCTATATTATTTCCAGTTTATGATATTGTACCATTGGTCTGTATATTTTGTTTTTTTTCATATATATATGACCGTTGAATTTGGACCTCCTGGTATATTCAGATCCTAAGACGGGGATTGTACCGTCCAGGCGTTATACGGCAGAGCTCCTAGCAGCTCGGTAAAGTGTGAGTTTGCTCTTTACTCACAGTGTATCTTATTTATACATTATTACAATACCTTTTCATACTGCACTATTATTGTTTATTGTTTTCTTTGAGGTTTCCATATGCTGTAACATTCAAGAACTACATATCCTAAGACGGGGATTGTACCGTCCAGGCGTTATACGGCAGAGCTCCTAGCAGCTCGGTAAAGTGTGAGTTTGCTCTTTACCCATAGTGTATCCTATTTATACATTACTAAAGTACTTTTGCATATTGCACTATTATTGTTTATTGTTCTTTTTTGAGGTTCCCATATGCTGTAAAATTCAAGAACTACATGTATGTACATTTATGATTATCTGATCACTTATTCTTTTGGCGCGGTCTACCACCTTTTCTTTTTCAATTGAGTTTAGTACAGTTCCTGAATCATCTATTTCACAGTCACAGGGGAGGGATTATCTTGTTTTGCGTGGGAGTATCCTGAACCTGAGAGCCAATGTAGTTACAGTGTGTACTTTGCCATAGTCCCCTCTCAGGTCCAGTGGGGAATGCCCCTGGAATATGTCAGGGTAAACCCCTTGCAAATAAACTGGCCAGTTGGCCTGAATAAATTCATTCCTGTTGTACCCTTCATTTAGTTTAGGCTGATGTTTGGGTATATAAACATAAAATTACAGGATGAGCTCTACTGGAAAATGGGTAATAAGAGTGTGGTTTATAAGGTACAGGGTGCTCTTAAAGGAAGAAAATCTGTTCCCATGCCAGATATATACATGTAATACAAAATAAGAAATGATCCCAAGGCACACCACAGTTTTGCACATAAAAAGAGTATTTATTCATGAAAATACAACAAGATATCAATATAGCAGAGAGAAAGAGCATAGTATAGTGCTAAACCAGTATATAGTACCAAAACCACAAGGTAAGTAAAGTGCTAAATGCAAAAACCCATTTAAAAAGCTATACTGACCAAGAGCAGGAGAAATTAAACCCCAACGTTTCGGCTGTGAAGCCTTCCTCTGGGGGACCTCTCCTTTTGTTTGGGTATATGTCTGATTGCTTGGAGAATTTACTTGGATACTGCATTTTCTTCTGGAGAATGTTCGAATCAACACACGAACTGCGAGCTATAGTCGCTCAGCCTTTAGCAGTTCGGGAGGAACCAAAAGCGAACGGGTATTTGAAATACCAGCATTCTTAACACTTACCATCAGAAGTCTGGTTTCTTCTAAAAACAAGATAAAATTATTAATAGCATGACACATGTAATAAAAATAAATTAAATGCCAGATTCACAACAAAAAAAGCATGATGCAACAAAAATATAGACCCATCTTTTTCTGACAAAGGCTCCTTGCAGAATGAACTTCAGGGTGGGAAAAAAAATTTATAATGGCTTTCCTATGCTTTGAATTCTCTTTAGAGTGCTCTGATTGGTTGGCCAATCAATCCGAGAGTTCTGACAGACAAATCTCTCTTCTCTTAACTATAGGAATATTCCACTGGCTACCTCTTCTATACAAGCTAACATGGAAAAGCTTCCAAATATTCTATTGTACTATATTGGTACATATTTCAAATTATTATAGTTCAACACTAGTATCATTCAAGGTATCATTGCCTTGCAGACATTTCCTTTGCCATATGTATATAAGTACACATGGTATTGACATGTTGGTTTAACTCTGCTTAAGATAAGGACATTTAATTATGATGTTTTTAACTTCTGAAAATTGTTTATTTTGATATTATATTTCTCTATTTTGAATTCAATTTTTGTAATGCATAGTTGTTGTACACACTTTTAGACCTAAACCCAGCAAGATGATCACATGATTGTGTGAAGTAGGTATGAATAAGGCTTGCCAAATACGTTGCATGATGGTGTAACGAAGACTTGGCCAAAGCTCAGAAAAACAAGAGCTTCTCTCAGTTTTTATTTTACCAGTGGGATTTGGTAGGATCCCAGGTTCCAATCATTTTCTTATTGTAACGAACTAGTTAATTTGGATACTATGTGAAATGATAAATGAATAGTACTTTAAAAATATAGCATACACATGTATAGGCATAAAAACTAGTATATAGTGTAAAAAAATACAAAAAGTAATATTTTAATATGATAGCAAGTAGCACGTGAAATATCATTAAATGGTCTTGTTTTGCGTGACATAGATTGTCTCCTTAT